ATAGTGAATGGCTCCAAAATGTATTTCCTGCAGTTCTAGTGAGAAACAGTGATTAATGGAGTTCAACCGGGTCTGTTGTGAGGCAGTTAATCACTGAAGACAACAGTGGACAGTCGTGCAATCTCATGGATCGGTTGAAGTTAAACATTAACGCCGTTGGATGTCAGCTCAGTGGTCTACAGGTTAAGCGTTTGCGCACCAAACCGTAGGTCCTGGGGTCGAGTCTCACGTGTAGGGTCGCGTATGCGCACTGTTGAGTGGTGCCATACTAGGACGAAACCGTTGTTCAGTGCTTTTAGGTTTTCGATGGTGTTCTAGCATTAATCGACTCATGAATTCAACTATTAAAGTACTACAATTTCCACAAACCCCCATTCTGATAATTAACTTTTCATATTAAATCAATGAACAAACAAGTTCAAACTATTTTCGATTCATTGAAGGTATTATTATTGAAATATTTCAAAGAATGAAAATCTAACTAAGGTCAATTCCATATGAAAATTCAAATTCAATTAGTTTTTTTATGAACTTTACAATAGTAATTGTGGTAGTAATAGTGACTTATTTCTAAATGACAATAATTAAGAATATTTTCAAGTGAACTGGTAAATTATTAAAAATAATTCAATCTTCAATCGATCTTTCTTGAATAAAAACGACTCTATCCTACATAATATGCTATGGAATGTGAAATATGGATGTTAAACTTGATTGTTAATTAGTAATAACAAATAATAATTTAAAATTTATATATTTCACTGAATGTGTTTGGTTAGACAGATATTAAAAGCCAGTAAACACTAAGAATTTGTTATTGACTTTAATATGAAACTGTTACTCTTTTCAGTAATGAAAACTTTTTATTAAAGATAGGATTATATCCTAACCTCTTCAAGTATATTCACTGAGTGATCAAGTCATTTATGTCAGCTATTTTTAAATCTATTTACTTACTTAAGCCTGTTACTCTCAATGGAGCATAGGCCGCTGACCAGCATTCTCCAACCCACTCTGTCTTAGGCCTTCCTTTTTACTTCTATCCAGTTGTTGTTCATTTTTCTCATGTCTGTCTCCATTTCTCAGCGTAATGTGTTGTTTGGTCTTCCTCTTTTTCTTTGGCTTTGAGGATTCCATGTGAGGGCTTGCGTTGTGACTCAGTTGGTTGCTTTCCTCAATTTGTGGCCTATCCACTTCCAGTGCTTCTTCTTGATTTCTTCGACCGCTGGGATCTGGTTTGTTCTCGCCCATATTAGGTTGTTGCTGATAGTATATGGCCAACGGATCGGAAGTATTTTGCGTAGACAGCTGCTAATAAATCTAACTATTCTAAAAATAAATAATCATTTTTATAAAATTTTCACAGTTCTAATTTCAGAAAATAGATATATGTTACAGTTAACCAATGATCATACTTTTTAGTGGAAATGTGAATAAACATGAGCAATGAATAACACTTAAAGTTATTAATTAAAATATTTATTAGACGAAAAGAAATGAAAAAAATAGCTGTGGTGAATACGATATTACATAACCATCTATGGGAACAGTATTAAAACTAATGAGGAAATAAGAGAGAGCAGAAATCCAGCTTGGAAGACCATAAATCCTTAATTTAAATAGAAAACGAATTAGATACTTATAAAATATTACAAAAACGTAGATAAATGATTTCATATTGATTCATTACCTATATCGTTTGGGACTTGTTACCATCCCCTACCTCAATGTGTTATTCGAGATAACATAGGAGTAGGCTATAAAAAAATTAGAAGTCGTTAGACCAAGCCATAGCAACAGTCTATCAAATGATAGAGTAAGACTGAGCCACGTATGTAAGGGCTGGTCAAGGTTTTCATAATAACTGTAACTAGTGGTAAGTGGTGTTAAAAAGTGTTAGCGGGATATAATTTAGATTGAAGCATGTTGCGTGCAGGATTATTTTGACGCACGCTGATCGACTTCTCACCCAATCAGCGCCAGTAGATACCTGGAGAACACTCTAGAATCTCATGTAAGCGTTTTCCTTATTGTAATTCCTACTTCCATCTACCCTTATTATTTGGAGCATAACTACGTTGCTGTTCAACCGTGTTCTGATTTGGGTTATGTCCAAAAATGTTAAGCAGTAAGAGTAGCTGGATCGTAATAAGAGAAATTATGACAAAAAGCTAACTACCAATATTCATACATACTTTCCAAACTGTATTCTTAAACACCCGATCTTCTTTATAATCATTGTTGATACTATTATTTCAACTACTTTGTTACTGATCTCGTCGTTCGGTTGCATGGCGCTCTGAGCTGACGCACGTTTGTGCCGGGCATTACACTGATTACGACTAATTGTTCAGTAATCAATTTATTTACAGTTCTGTGCAAAATTAACGAACAATAGTAGGCATAAAATGACAAAGATAATTTATTTCACAACTGTCAGAATAAATTTTTTCTACCTAAACGGCAGATTGTCAAACAGAGCAGCTTGTCTTAAAATGTGATACGAAATGGAAAATACGCATATATTTTTCATATAGACTTCATAGAAAGTTTTTACTCTATTAAAAAGTATTAGTGTTATCTTTTAGCATACTTTATACAAATCTGTTTAAAATTAATTCAAGTAATGATCTCACTATGGGAAACAATAGAGAATAGAATATTTACCCGAGAAAGTTTTATATTTCATGTGTCTTTACTTAAGTAGATATAAGTACCATAAAACTCTATACAAAACATTATTTGCTAGGTTAATGACTGAACAGAAAAAAATGAAGACCATGCTTGCGGACAAGCAGTCCCCAAGTTTAGTTGCGCAGTCAGTAAGTACTATCGAATCACATCAATTCCACATCCAAACATTAATCACCAAAGATGTGATTAGAAATGAGGACTTGGATTACCGTATTCACTTGAACCGAATTAGATAAACGAAATAGCTGTGTACTTAAAACTAATCCCGAAAATCTTGAAACTCGCAAGATTTTGCAATGTTAAAACTGATGTTTTCCTTGATAGGGGTTTTTAAATATTGCACATCTAAATCTTAGTTTAATTGACAGTCAGCTTTTGAATAATTTTCTGTGTGAGTTCCTGTTATAAAATTATTTGGCCAATATAACGAACAAGAAAAATCATCCTAGCACTAACTTTGTGTTAGTCCTCATAGATAGCCATATTTGTACACCCTTCTATGTAGATATGATCAGACAAAATTAAGCTTTGTAGCCAAGTCTTAATTCCTTTAGAAAATGACTATCTATTGTTAAACGATATTTAGTTGTTTGTTCTTTTATTACTCTTATTTTATCTTACGACTGAAGAATCATATTTCAGTGCCGATTAGTCTTGTCTCATTACGTCAGTCCATTATAGGACTTGGATCAGCAACTCCGTTTACCGAGCACTTCTCATTCAACTATTCTGTACCATTAGGTTTCACCTATCAAATAATCAGAGTTGGATAATGGCGCATGTTCCATCCTATTTGCGACTCGTTAGTTGGATGTATCTGCATCCCAGAGTTGGCGTTTACTTTGGAACCTGAACTTAGTACACCTTGCATCAAATGCCACCACACTACCCACTTAGCTACTGAGTCCAAACAGACACTAACTTGTGCAATAGAAAGAATTTTAATCCGTCTTTACAACCCGAAAATGTTCATAATTCGATAAACCCTCATTTACACAAATGTTTTGGAGGGTTCAACTTAAAACAATTATTTATTACACATGGATATTAAACCTTGAGAGGGCACAGAAAAAACTAGAATAATATTTATGAAGAGAAACCAGTACTCTATTTTCCAAAATCTAGATATGTGCCGTCGATCCGACGCAAATGAATTTTGTCGATTAAACTTTCATTTCTAAAATTTCATATCGAACTCTCTAATGAATGAACAAACCAGGGAAAATATTTAATATCAAATAAACTAGTTACAATGTAATTGTAGACAATAAGCAGCCTACCATATCGATAATGGTTTTAACATCAGAAACCCAGAACCGAAGATTGCTCGATACCAGGTAGTGCCTAGTTGCCACACAGCCCAACAAACAAAACTAGTTTTATAAATTGTCCACGTAACGACTACCAACGAAGTTGACTGGATAGAAAACACAACAGATACTGAGTGCGTCAGTGTGAGGTAACAGTCGGTAGCTATTTAGTTTTACCAAATAAACTGACCTGAAATTAGAAACAGTCAGCGACATAACTACCGACAAAGACACGCCGTTGATAATTCATAAGAACAGACACTTCAGAATTTCGGTAGAATAAACTGATGAACAGTTCAACTGTATTAACGTTATTTTTTACTAAAATCCCATCACCCTATCAACCGATAAGCGAAAACTGGATCTATAGACCCCTGAATGAGAACTAAACACTGCAATGAATTTAATACAAAAATCGCTTTTAAATTGGTTCACGTAATTAGGAAAGATAAAAAGATAAATATTAATCCAATTTCTAATAGACATGTAATTAATTTAGTTGCATCAACAATCTCATTACCAACTCATTAGTTAGATGTTAACAGTAAAAAAAACACAAAACTAATGTTGAAACAGTTCCAGTAAAACAAACAAGTCGAACTACATTATAAGTTAACTATAACGAGAAAGTTGAAAAATATTATCCACTAGAAACTCAATCACATTGATTCCATATTGTGACCGTTGAATGTGATTTTCCTGAGTTTAATATAATACTGAAGATGGCATAAAAGTGTGCACTATAGACGGATCCACAGGAAAAATCAAGAGCAGTCAACCAGAACCATCGAATATTTGCTCCAGTTTAAATCATATTAAAATTTAACAGAACACATTGAAACCATATAAGTAATAATTCATTTTTAGCTAAATACCCGCAGTCTATTGGGGGAGATTTTGTTAACCTGTTATAATAGTAACTTAAATCGTTACTAAAATTGTTCATCTGTAGGCCCTATGTTCAAACCCCAAACCACGTGTATAAAAAGAAAGAACAATAGAGAAAAAAATTAATGAGCAGAAACTGACAAAATTTCAATATAAGAACCATTATCATTATTCATTACACAAAAAATAGACTATACAAAGAACGCAATAAGGAGAACTTTCAAGCATTAGAATATAAATTATTCAACAATGATGATAATAATCCATTTAACACATTCCATTGTTTTATTTTCGACATCAAACAAAAAGCAAAATTAATAAAACAGCAGAAGTAGAGGTACAAAAAACAAAAAAAAGAAAATGGAGGATCAATGGAGAACGAAGGCATACAACTACAGTAACTTTATCATAACTAGGCGTGTTGAAATTTCAGCGGTGTTAAATGGCTCTTCAATACAGGTCTTTCTATGTGTACATAGAGATGTATTCATGATCAGGTAGTGAAGATAAGAAAGAATATAACTCAAGTAAAAATTACGTAAAAACTAAATCAGAAAGAAAAATCAAGACAATTAATTTTGTTTTTGTTTCTCAAACAAAAATGAACAAAGACTGTGAATGAATTGCATAGAATGTGAAAACCCACTAAAACTGAAGAACTAACACACGCACACAAGTTTAATTTTCTAGCAGACTTACAACTAGATAAAAATTATGACATAAAACGATAATATCTTTACAAAGGATGACAATTTTCTGGTTATGAACACCTGATTTCTATTATAAACCTCAAAGTTTTATAACTACTAGTGATGCTGTTGAGTAATAATGCTAATTGGATTGGTATGAACACTGTGAACAACAGTCACAAGCCTCAGAGTTACTACCAAAGATTAAATTTAGAGGAATTATGGACGAAGGTCGTGGCAAAATGTAGAGTATGATAATGCTTTGATTTATGGAAGTAAAATCTATTAATATCCCAAAGTTAATTAGCAGAAGTGAAAAAACTGAGTAGAAAATATGTGTCAACACAAGTTGATGTGTTAGAAGTAATTACATGCAATAAACATGTAGTAGGTTTTCGATAATAAAAATCCCCAGGATATATATAGCATGACAGCACCGGTGAGAGACAATACTGAAGTGTTTCTGAATTAAATAGGGAAACATGAAGTGTGGGTGTGTATGCATGATAACAGAGAAGCGATTATACTCCAACTCCTAATGTAATCAAATAATCAGATGAAAACCACTCAATCTGAAAGATAACGTTATATACGCTTGACAACGATTTCATTTTTATCTAACAACAATTCCATTCTAAATAAACAATAAATTAAATTAATCGTAAGCAGAGCAATTACATTGGTGGTGAGTAGTAAAAACAGAACAAGAAAAATCAGAATTATTGCAGAAAACAAACTTTTTCTCGAAACAAAAGTAGAAAGTTTAAGAATAACGACCGTGTGAAGCAGTAATAGAATGATGATAGGTTGGGGTGTTCCCACTACTACCACAAACTGGAAGAAAACACGTCGATGATACTGACGATACAGTGTTAATACTTTTAGTTGGAGTAGTGGACGTAATATTACTAAAACTATTACTATTATTATTACTTTCGTAAGGGATCACTGATTTAACACCAGGATGAACAAAAGGTTGCGTAAGATAATGTTTCTCATGTTCGTTTTTAAATATTGGATGACTACCATAATGCTCGATGAGATCATCAATACAATTGAATACTTTCTGACCAATATGATATTGTCCTTTCTCAACATGTACTTTGAAATTTCTTGTTTTATTGCCTGCATTGATAGTTATAGTCAAATCCCCAGGCTATTGTATAAGTCAGTATAAATAAATAAGAAAAGTAAGTTAAGTTTTATTATATGTTTATTTTATGTATGCAGGTGAAGTAATGAAATCAATTTATTAAGTTGAATAAAAAACAGTATAACATGAAATTCTACCATAACAGTTTACATGCTGTGAAGTTGATCAATCTATATTTTGTCATGTTATACACATACAAAACTCACTTACCAAGTTGAAAAGTTTAGAAATCCAGCGTTTAGCTGCACTACTAAATATGTGAATAATTAATTATACTACTCGTCTACCTAAACCAAAGTTGATGAAAAGGGGTTCGGATGTTTCACTCACTGATTGAAACCAATAACTTCTATCAGTAAGTTACTGTACATCCTCAAGAGGGGTACTAAATTATTCATACATAAAACAGAGGTGTGATAGCATAGACAAAGTATATTGTACTTAAGCAGTTGACCAGTATACACATATAGCGTACCCTACAGCATCTAAGTGTAAAATACTAACTACTACAAGACTAGCAGAATATAATGCAGACAACCACATTTTGTGGTAAGCCGCTGGGAATAGTCAAAAAGTTCATGTGAATAGATAGTTGTGTTAATGACTGTGGTACTACGGTAGAAAACACTTTTCTTTGTATAGACTAAACTACAGAGGTTTACATGAATCAGAATTAGCTTTGACTTCAAAGTGACGTTACATCGGCCATTAAAGATCAGAAGCACAATGCTGCGATACAATATTACTGCTTCACAGAGATTAAACCCGCCACTTCTAAACTAAGAACTTTTGACGGATATGGATTGGTTTTGTGACACGACTGTGTTCAAAGAATCTCTTGCAGTCGGTAACAACACCAATTTAGTAACGTTAAAGTCCAATAATCCATGTACACAAACTTTTATTGCAGACTTGTGTTAAAACAAAATTATACAGATATATTACCAAATCTGATAACATAAAAACCATAACCTTCATAAATTTTGCATCATATAACTGTTCAATTTAAATTTAATCGGCAGATATGATCGACAATCAAAAGACCAAGTGTCTATCTATACATCAATAGTATGAAATAATAAAATTCCTGATTATTTATCGTTCTTTTCCAAAAGTTAAAACATAATAATCAATACACAGTATATTTTTCGAGAAATAGTTTACTCGTCGGTTGTCTAGTGACAGAGCACATAAGCATCCATACAAATAAATAGTATATATATATATATATATATATATATATATATATATATATATATTCATACTTCCTCTCAATAAATATTGATCTACATTAGATGGTCTGTCTGAAATATGAAGAAGAGAATTACATTTATTTTCTTTTTTGGCATAAATCACATCTCGGAATCCAACAACATAATAGCAGCCTCTTTATTGTTATTACTATTATACCAGTTCCAATAGCAATAACGGTAATAATAATAATGATAGTGGCAACACAGTTTGCTTGATGGCTATAACCCCACTCGCAAAATAAGTTGTGAACTGTAATTTTTCCCATATATCTATCGTTGTTATACTATTTACCCAACTGTGCATATTTTTTGTGCATCAGTAACTAATAATTAGATTGGATTTGTAAAGCATTGACCAGTGGATTAGAAAGTAAAATGTAATTGCCCAATATGATGGAGGAAAAAAATTATTTCAACAATAATAGTAGGCATAAATTAAGTTACAGACAATGGTAGATCGAATATTCTAGGTTTTGAGGTGATTTTCATACCATAAAATGAAATTGACTGGAAAATTGTTAAAATTTGTGAAGTACTAGGTCACATCTTTGGTTTATTTTGAGATTCCTCAACAATGCTCACAGTAACTATCTTAGACGAAATTTAAAATATGAATTTTAGTTCTCACAATAAGCATTACAACATTCAATTAATAAATTTAAGATACTACAGTAAAAAATCTCCAAATTTCAGAAAAACAAGAACAAACTTGTTTAGTTTAAGCTGTTTCGCAATGGCCTCTGAAAAACTACTCAATAAGATCGAGGTTCTTTGTTCATTGATTATCGTGAAGGATTTTGAAACATCAACATCACATACACTGTTTCAGCAGTAGTGCAATTGTTCATCATTTGCTTAACAGTGAACGTCACATAATAGAACATATTTGCGTTACAACTAATTCACGTTACTCATGAAAACTTACATGTGACTCACTATCGCGAACGATGAATTCACCAGGTAAAGAATGTTTACCTAACATCTCTTCACATTCAGCGCGTGAAATAATACCCCAGAACCATGGTCGATTTATATGTAAGCAACCTGTACTAGACTGTGTAGCATAACTTAGCCTCAATGTTTCTCCATCAGTAGTCTGTGACTTATTTGTTACTGTATAACTTGAATTAGTCGCAGACACCTGGTTACTTCGAATAGAATGGCCAAAATTTGTAGACTGACAAGATAATGGCTTGTGATTTGAACCGAATGATTTGCTTAGTGTTGTAGTTGCAATTGCTGGTGTTGTGAAAGCAGTAACATAATTATGCGGTACCAGACCACTTTCACCACGAGTATTACGACAATGCCACCAAGCTGGATCATCAGGAGGTTTGTTAAGTACTTCCAAGACCTCGTTTTCACCAAAAGACAGCTCTGCTACATGACTACGTACAAATGGGTAAAGAGTTACAACAGTTTCATGTTGCTGTTGCTGACCTTCATGACTAGGTGGGTCGTTATTACGTACTAGTAATTGCGGTTGTTGATGTACTTGTTGTTGGTTTTCTGTAACAGAACCAGGATTCAGAGAATGTTGTTGTTCATAATATTGATAAGCTAAGTATTGAGTAGGAATTTGATCTTGAGTATTTGAAATGTTTGGTACAGACAAATCATTTGCATCCCGATTAAGTGTACTTGAATTTAATATACTGGGTTGTGAACTACTTCCAGATCTGTAACGTTACGTGGAAAAACAATATAAATAAATATTTAATGATTTGGTGGACATATTATACGCATTGATCATGATGTGAAAAGCTTGTTGGCAATATCACTAGTTCGACCTAGATTTTCAAAATGAATTTTGTATTCCAAGACTGTTGAAGCGTTGAAATCAAAACCCAAAGCCTTTTATCAATTCATACTGACAATTCGCGTTTGATTAAACCACTGGTGGTGAAATTGACAGTTTATTCAAATTTAAAGTCTCAATAGATAGAAAGATTTTGATATGCCTTTGATTACATGCACAATAGTTAAGACCTAACACCCAGCTGAATATTACAGTTTAGACGGTATGACATCTTAAAAGCAGTTGAAAAAGCTAGAACTCAATATTTCCTTCATTTTTAGTCCCTGCTTGTTTGAACTAGAAGTGTTTTTAACAAGTGCTTCGAGTTGTAAAAAACTTATGACAATAAAAGAACTGTGGGGAAGTAGAAATGTACTGTAAATAAAAACAATGTGAATTAGTATTTTGTAAATCGTCTACAATTTAGTATACGATGTATAGACATGCAACAAGAGTTCCGTTCGTTTAAACACAGACAACTGTCTTTAGTAATTTATTGGAACCGAGACAATGCGCTTCCTTAAATTGTCACAAGTATGAATCAAGCAAACAATACTTAGTATGAAGCAAAAAAGAGTAACATTTTTGTTAAATGGTTGTGGAGCATAATTTAAAATACTGAGAATACTGACTAAAGATTTGGTGGTGTTATTATCAAATCGACGACAATAATAAGAAGGAAGAAGCTAATAATGATAGCTATCTTGTGTTTAAATATCCTTCCAATAGTTTAAGTGTCCTGAAAATAAAATAACTTACGAACATTTCTAACAATCTTAAATACTTCGATTTACTAACATTGAATGTTTGCAAATGCCTATTTTAGACCATTTTACTAAGTTTTCATCTTAAATTTAAACGACAACGACTTAACCAATAGGATGTTTAGTTTCTAACTTAAGCTATATACAAGTAAAACCAAGCAAAATGAATGTTTCTACGTTTTATTTAACGTTATTTATATGTGTAACTCCGCCTGCAACCTTTCTAGAGCCACTGCCGCTCCCAATTCCGGATAAAGAGGAGGATTTGGCATAGAGTCAACAACCTCATCCCTTAGAAACAAACATTGCTAAAACACGCTATCCATGATAAACAATCTAAACCATTCAAACTCTGAACTCCGAATTGAAGGATCTTCATTTGGAAGTTATGGCGCCTGATGATGAAAGCCGAGATTCTGCGGATGTCACGAGGCTGATGTCTCTTCTAACAAAATAACAGTTAATATAGGTAGACGGAATGTCCAGACAGTGTGGCAGATTGGGAGGATCAACCAGATAGTTGCAGAAATGGGGAGATGCAACTTAATGATGATCGGAATAAGTGAAACCCGTTGGACAGAAAATATCAGATTTGGGAGAGCTGCATCCTCCAAAACAATGGAGGGGATTACAATGAAGGTTATCCAGTGTTACGCACCAACCAATGATAGCAATGAAGATGATAAGGATTAGTTTCAAGAGAGGCTGTAGTCGATCGTAGAGGTGCTCATGAAAAAGACCTGACCATTCTGATGGGAGATCGAAACGCTCAAGTCGGAATGGGCAACACCAGATATGATGATATAATAGGACGAAATGGACTGGGAGAAAGAAACGAGAATGGAGAAAGATTTGCAAATTTATGCGCATTCAACAAAATGGTTATAGGTGGCACTATATTTCCCTACAGGCCCATACAAAAAGCTATATGAGTCTCACTGGATTACACTACACAGAACCAGATCGATCACATTTGTATCCACTAAAAATTCAGAAGGTCAATGGAAGACGTGAGAACAAAGACAGGAACTAACATAGCTTCAGATCACCAACTGGTGGTTACCAAGATGAAGGTAAAGCTAAACAACTACTGGACAATTGGAGAAACAGCATTACGAACGTTTGACACAGCCTTCCTTCGACATCCTGACCAACTCAATGAATTTAAGATAGCTCTCAACAGCAGGATCTACTCAAAAGAGGAAACTTATATGGAAGACAACTGGAAAGGGATCAAACAAGCACTAACTTCAACGTGTTGTTGCTACCTTGACGTGGTGGTCGGGCTTGCCTATCGTGATGAAGCAACCGAGCTATACTGGCTGGAACAACTGTTCCTCAAGGTCCTACCATGTCAGACATGTCGGTTGAAGAGCGGTAAGACTAAAAGCAACAAACCCAAGGTCCGAAGGCGAAGTCGTACTGCTGACTGTACAGAGGTGTGACAGCAGTAAGGTGTTTCCTTCAGACAACCAGCATGACAGCGATGCTGCCTTCCCACAAGGAGGGGTGGGGTTAGAAAAGGTCGACCCTAAAAATGCACACCTCGCCTTATCCCACGGATATCTGTCTCCGGCGGTAAGGTCCCAAAAAGTACGGAGCTAACACAAAAATTACCCATAACAAGGTCGTGTGTGACCGACCTCAAGCAGTTGTCCCTTGGGCACTGCGGTCACGCTCTCAGGTCACTAAGACCACCTCTAATCCAATTTCCTTTTCAGGTACCTCCGGAACAACCCTTCCACGGTGTGGGCAACCGGGAAGTGATAACCGCCCTCATACCTCTAACAGCACTCAAGACCACTGTATTCCGACTGAACTTCAACGTGTCAAGATATTCTGGACCACAAGAGAAATCATCATAAGAAATGAATCTCTATCGAAACCCTGGTCAGCATTCAAGAAAGAAAGATCAAGAAAACAGCAATTAATAACAGCCGAACAAGAGTAGAAAAAGCTAAGACACAGACCGAATACACAGACTCAAACAAGAGAGTGGAGAGGAGCATTAGATCTGATAAGCGGAAACATAGGAGATCTAGCAATCGCAGCAGAAAAAGCTACAAGAGAAGGAAATATGAAACAATTACATGATACAACGAAGAAATTGGCAGGGAAATATAGTAAACCGGAGCGACCAATCAAGAGCAAAGAAGGTAAGCCAATTACTGAAATTCAGGAACAGTGGAACAGATGAGTAGAGTATTTTCAAGAACTCTTGAATAGACCAGCTCCACTGAATCCACAAGACATCGAAGCAACACACACCGACCTTCTTATAGATGTCACACCACCTACAATCAAAGAAATCAGGATGGCCATCAGACAAATCAACAATATGAAAGCAGCAGCAGCTGACGACATATCAGCTGAAGCACTGAAGTAACACATAGAAGCAAGTGCAAACATGCTCCACGTCCTATTCAGGAAGATTTGGGAGGAAGAACAAGTGCCACCGGCACACTGGAAAGAACGAAACCTCATCAAGCTACCAAAGAAATGAGATCTGAGCAAACGTGAGAACTAGAGGCATCACACTACTATCGATACCAGGAAAAGTTTTCAACAGTATTGCTGAACAGCATGGAAGATTAAGTAGACATCCAGCTTCAGGATCAATAGGCTGGATTCCGTAAGGATCGGTCGTGAACAGACCAAATCGCAACACTACGGGTCATCGTTGAACAATCAATTGAATGGAATTCGTCAAATTTCTCTACTACGAGAAAGCGTTTGACAGTGTAAATAGGAGAACCCCATGGAACCTTCTTCGACACTATGGTGTACCTGAGGAAATCGTCAATATCGTCCGGGATTCATACAATGGACTACACTGCAAAGTGGTAAATGGGAGACAGTTGACAGATGCATTCCAAGTGGGGATTGGTGTCAGACAAGGCGGTAAGACTAAAAGCAACAAACCCAAGGTCCGAAGGCGAAGTCGTACTGCTGACTGTACAGAGGTGTGACAGCAGTAAGGTGTTTCCTTCAGACAACCAGCATGACAGCGATGCTGCCTTCCCACAAGGAGGGGTGGGGTTAGAAAAGGTCGACCCTAAAAATGCACACCTCGCCTTATCCCACGGATATCCGTCTCCGGCGGTAAGGTCTCAATAAGTACGGAGCTAACACAAAAACTACCCATAACAAGGTCGTGTGTGACCGACCTCAAGCAGTTGTCCCTTGGGCACTGCGGTCACGCTCTCAGGTCACTAAGACCACCTCTAATCCAATTTCCTTTTCAGGTACCTCCAGAAGAACCCTTCCACGGTGTGGGCAACCGGGAAGTGAAAACCGCCCTCATACCTCTAACAGCACTCAAGACCACTGTATTCATAATCAACCTTCCTCTTCAATACCTATTATTCCTCCTACATCGACTTTCAACTTTAAATTTCCTCTCTCGGCTTCCACCTCAAGTGTCACCATAGCCAACGATTCTAGTGCGCAAAATACTGTCCCAGGTCTACTGAAACCTCGCTCCAAACTACACATTGGAGCCTTCAACGTACGAACCCTATGTCAAATCGGTCAGCAGGCTTCCTTGGCTAAAACCCTAGAGTCTCTTACCATTGACGTGTGCTGTGTCTCCGAAACACGCATACAGGATTCCAGTGTGGTCATTCACTTGACCTCACCTCGGCAAAACGGAGAGCCAACGAGATACACCCTTCGTGTATCTGGTGACCCGATGGCAAGTTCTCGTGGACTGGCAGGTGTAGGCATAGCACTAAGCATGAGGGCCGAACAAGCACTGCTAGAGTGGATCCCCGTCAACAGTCGTCTATGTGCTGTTCGGCTGAACGGCTACGTAAGAACTCGGAAGGATAGGGACACACGTCGTTGCCTTTTTGTCGTTTCTGCCTACGCTCCCACTGACTGCAGCTCAGATGATGTGAAAGATGAATTTTACAGAAAGCTGTCCGAACTTCTTCAGAAAGCTAAACGCTCAGACATAGTACTCGTAGCAGGTGATTTTAATGCTCAGATAGGCAGTTTAAACCTAACAGAAAGGCATTTAGGTGGATATTTTAGTATTCCGACACAGCGAACAGATAATGGTGATCGTCTGCTGCAACTGTGCTCAGACAATCGTTTATTTTTAGCAAACACAAATTTTAAGCATAAGGAGAGACATCGTCTAAAATGGCGACCCCCTACACCAAACCAACGATGGACTCAAATAGACCATATTGCCATCAGTCATCGTTGGAGAGGGTCGGTAGAAGATTGTCGCTCATTCTGGAGTACCTGCTTGGACTCCGACCATGCCCTAATACGGGCACGCATCTGCTTGCGCCTCACTGGACGCAAAAAAGCCGCATTAAAAAGACCCGTTAGAACTGAGTTGAGTAACGAGAAAACCAAAAGTAGGTTCCAAGAACAACTGAGGTCACACTTAGGTAGTTGTGAAGACGAGGCTGACCCAGATGTTGCTTGGAAGGGCATACAATCAGCTGTGGAAACAGCAGTGACATCTATTAGTGACTTAAACCACAGAGTTGCAAGGAACCAGTGGATTTCTTCAAGGTCTGTCACACTGATGGATTCTCGCAAACTCGTCCCATCAGGTTCTGAACATGATGAAGAGCGAAAACAAATCAGATCTAGGTTAAGAAAAAGCCTAAGAAACGACCGTGAGCAGTGGTGGGCATCGAAAGCAAAAGAGATGGAAAAGGCGGCGACTATAGGGAACACAAGACAGCTTTACAGATTAATAAAAGAAACTGGAATTAATAAGTCAAGTGTAAGTGAGATTATATCGGAAAAAGACGATACACTCATCTGCTCCAAGTCCAGGCGTTTAGAACGATGGGCGGAACACTTTAGGGAACAGTTCAGCTGGCCTTCAGCTACTCTACAACTACCCTCCATTCCCAGACAGTGTGAATGGAACATTGAAGTAGGTCCCCCGACTCTTGCTGAAGTTCAAAAGGCTATAGTTAATCTGAAACGAGGAAGGGCAGCTGGTCCAGATGGATTGGCTCCAGAGGTCTTTAAGGATGGTGGTCCAATTTTAGCGATTAAGTTGACTAATATTTTAGCTAAGATCTGGGAATTAGACTTTATCCCATCTGACTGGTCGCAATCACTTATCGTCCCAATATATAAGAAAGGGTCAAAATCATCCTGTGACAACCACAGAGGGATTAGTTTAACAAACATAGTATCTAAAATACTGGCCTCGATAATTATCAAATGCCTAACTAAGACTCGTGAACTACAAACTCGAGAGAACCAAGCTGGCTTTAGACCTGGTCGTGGCTGCATCGACCACATATTTACCATTCGTCAGGTTCTAGAACATAGGCATACCTATCGGCGTCCGACGATGGTGGTATTTCTTGACTTAAAAGCAGCATTTGACTCGGTAGACCGCGAGACTCTGTGGCAGTGTCTGTCATTGAAAGGCGTACCTCAGAAGTACATAAACCTTGTGAAGGCTCTTTACTCGAACACTACTAGTCGAGTCAGGGCTTATGGCGAACTGTCATCTACTTTTGCAACCTCAAGTGGTGTCCGTCAAGGCTGTCCACTTTCTCCATTTTTGTTTAACTTCATCATAGACCTATTGATGGAAATAACACTCTCGTCGACTGAATTCTCGGGTATTGATCTCCTTCCACGAGGTCCACTTATCGACTTAGAATACGCAGATGACATAGTCCTGTTTGGTGAAGACGCTGACAAAATGCAGAGTCTTCTGGTAGCACTAAGCAACAATGCCAGAATGTTTGGGATGCGCTTCTCTCCCTCTAAATGCAAGTTGTTGCTTCAGGACTGGTCTCCGTCAACACCTGAACTAAGGATAGGGAGTGAAGTAGTCGAACGCGTTGACAACTTCACTTATCTTGGAAGTCTGATCAGCCCTAATGGGTTGGTGTCTGACGAAATCTCAGCACGGATTCGAAAAGCTCGTTTGGCTTTTGCCAACTTACGTCACCTTTGGCGAAGGCGAGATATCCGTCTATCAATAAAAGGACGAGTATACTGCGCGGCAGTCGTTCTGTTTTAATTTACGGCAGCGAAACATGGCCTTAAGAGTAGAAGACACCCGTAAGCTACTAGCATTTGACCACAGATGCCTTAGAAATATTGCTGGTATCTGCTGGGATCACCGGGTAAGTAATAGTGAGGTTAGACGCAGGGTATTAGGTAATGATGGTAAATCAGTTGATGAGGTTATGAACCTTCATCGACTGAGATGGTTGGGTCACGTATTACGTATGCCTGAACACCGATTACCACGACGTGCAATGCTAACCGGGGTAGGGGATGGTTGGAAGAAAGTTAGGGGCGGCCAAACCAAAACGTGGCATCAGTGCTTGAAGTCACTAACTTCTAGTCTGAGCCATGTTGGTAGATGCAGACTACTTGATTGGGGTCCGGCGTGACTATCGTAACCAATGGTTGGAGATTCTGGGTGACATGGCTCAGAATCGATCACAATGGCGTCGGTGTATACACTCCCTGTCTTCCCTTAAACCAAGAGACTAAAATCACTTCATTCTTTCTGTCTACGAACTAATTCTTTCTTCCTATACTATATCCTTATTGCAACCTTTGTCCACTCCTATGAATCCGCTGTTCATCTTGCTGTGCTAATGAGGTATGGCAACCTGGACCGATGCACATATGTGCCTGGTCCTACGTTGTAGCTGACTGACTGACTTACTCTCGCCCTTTCTCTTTATTCTGGTAGTTGACTGGATTATGAAGACCTCTAAATCTGGGGCGAAGCATGGAATACAATAGACAGTTTCGATGTAGCTAGACGATTCGGACTTCGTAGATGACTTGGCTCTTCTATCCCATACACACCAACCACCAACGAAAATGGTGCAAATATTTATAAACAATTGTGTACGCAAGATACTTAATGTCCGTTGGCCGGATACCATTAGCAACAACCTACTGTGGAAGAGAACAAACCAACTTCCAGATGAAGAGGGAATTAGGAAAAGATGTTGGAGGTAGATAGGAGATACATTGTGGAAATCATCAGATTGCATAGCGAGGCAAGCGCTAACTTGGGATCCTGAAGGCAAGGGGGAAGAGGAAGACTAAGGAACACATTGCGTCAAGAATCGGAGGCAGATATCAAAAGAATGAATAGAAACTGGAAAGGATCGCCCAAGACAGAGTTGGTTAGAGAATGCTGGTGGGCGGAGTATGCTCCTCCACGAGGAGTAACAGGTGTAAGTAAATAAGTATATGTGCAGGTTACAACGTAATCAAAACACGCTTAATGTTGTTGTACTGAGATTTGCCTGGCCACTACTAATCTATATGTGCTGTTGTGAATCTTAATATATATAATAGTAGACAAATCCGACCATTATATTTCCTATCATTCAACTAAATATCGACAACGATCAGGGTCCTAAAGGATCATTTTCCATTTTATCGATGTGAAATTTATGTTATATACTCAGAGTTTTTGTTCAAAATTTCCAAATCAAAGCTTGTTGGTAAATTTGCTTATCAAGGCTGTATTGCTTGTACACCCTAAAGCAATTAGCATGAGTTATGAAGAAGTTAAACTTAGACATATTTATCTTTAAAAACATGGGTAATGTGAATTCTATGAATTCGGATTCGAACTTTTGGGTATATTTTTAAAGTCCCAAAATCACGAAACAAAGTAATCAAACATTAGGAAAAGTTAATAATTTACGAAATACTAACACCTATTTATTTTGAATAATCGTTTACTTTTATTTGTATTATTCGTTCCATCTGTGTAAAAAAACACTGCTGTGACAGTATTGTAAAAAAGAAAACAAGTTGATGTAACATTGACATCCACCTATTCAAACACGTTGTCAATATTGAGTCCAACTATTTGAACTGTCTAATTGTATAAAACCATGTTTATCGGATTGTTTGAGTCCTAGAGCTTATATATAGTAACAAATAAATTCTATCCAGTGACCATAAAATGAAAACTTAGCTACCATTATGCTCTAAAAACTATATCAGTTGAACTGCTAAATTAAATATAACATCTAATAAACAAGTAAAACTTTAATTATATTTAATATATTTACAGGTTCAAATGATTTAGAAGCTGAAACTTTTTACTTCAAAACCTATCTACTACTCTTAATCTTCCGTGAAGTCATCAACAATTTTTTTTCAGCTTTTCAGCTATTTCCATCCTTGATCTATCTCTCTCTGCTTATTTACTATACTTTTAACATTATTTTGTTATCGATTTATTTTCCATATATTCCAAAATGTTAATCTTTTAGAGCTAATTTTTCTGCATAAACTAATCGATCACATTCTCCAACTTCTTATTTATTTACCTTTGGATAGGTTATTTTATGCAGTCCCATGGCTTCTAGTTTCCGCCCCCGTTCTCGACATTAGAGTAATTACCATTAACAGAACATGGTTTAGTTTTCCGAAACTAAAAGAGTCTATATGTAACATAAACACATTCAAATCTAGGTGATTGATTAAGAAAGCAAATAATAGGAGAAGCTTGAAAAGTCGTGGTCCAAAGAGAAAAAGCACAATTAGGTAGTAATGTAAATTAGAACGTTTTATTACAACTTCCACTGTAAACAGTCTTTAAATACACTAATAATCATCATTTTGAAACTCACCAAGTACAAGTTTGTGTTCTTTACTACTACACATTTTTTGTGTGGGTTAAATGATACTATCCGAATACACACACTAAGTGACATAAGTGAACATCCCACTTAAAGTCCCTTAGTTGTTAATCAACATGAAATAAAATGGTCTGCCACTTTAAAATAAATATTTAAAAGCACACTTTCACAATTTAAACGGTGTATAACAGATCAAACGAGCACGTTAATTATTAATTTACGCTCGAGTTATGTCAGTTATATTTTAAGTAGAGAGCGATTTCTATTTGATAGCATTCCATGGTAATTAAGTTATGTCACAAACCAAATAGGTACGAAACACCTGTCCAATGATTCATTAACATAATTATGACCCTACGGCTGATATTGTTAGTCGATGACTAGAAAATATCTCAAAACTCTACGAATGAATAAAATAGAACCAAAAACTACTGACCTATTCAGATTTTTTGATAAATCCAATGTGACATAATTTGATGGAAACCATCCCATTCGCTGTGGTTTACCTTCGGTAATTAGAATACCACGCCACCAACCATCTGAACTTTTTTCCAAAACACGAATTTTATCGCCTCTTTCAATTGACAATTCATCTGGTTGACAAGCAGGGTAATTGAAACGTGCTTGACATATTTGACGACCTAAACCAGTTCCAGTGCCAAAATAGGACGTATTATTTAAAGTTCCTGTCATAATATTAGTAGTTTGCTGGAACAGTGATAAGGAAACATTTACAGCGCCATGTCCATTTTGAAAATTTGGTATGGAATGCTGATTAAAAGTAGTTTGAATAGTAAGAAACGGAATTTGAACAAGTTTAATGAAGTTAATAAACTTGAAACAACTTATCAATCTGTCGAACTTTTAACCAGACGTCTAACCCAGTATGACTTGTTCGTGATAATCATTTTAAACTCATGATAAATTGTTAAATAAAAATGATTTACTGAGCACTACTTTTATCGTACAACTCGATTGCGATTGTAGTACGAAAGAAAAAATGGTTAACTTTGTTAACGTCTTAATGAGTCTTTTGAAAATTGTTTGGACAGAACACCTTGTTTCATGAAAACGAAAAGTAAATTTGATAATTCTAACACATTTATATCCCCAAAATATACCATATTTCCTAAGAAAGATTATAACACATTTGATTGATGTCTCTAAAGAGACCTACATTTATCTAAGCACCAGTTATTAGATTATGTCCATGAGTGTTTATCAAATTAGTGATAGATCTATACACAATACAGGTTACCAGTCTTTTTATGGCTTCCACTGACCGAATACATTTAAACTTTGATCAGATAGAGCACATGGTGTTTTGATCCAAAACGTTCTGCTTGATATTAATGAACCGGCATTTTTAGTTGCTCGATGATTTTCTATTTTGTCACAAATACCTCTGAAGTATCTGCTGGTATTCTGTGGCAATACTTTGATGAGGTTAAATGAAATAAGATTTCAGCATAAAGGACTTCCACAACCAGTTTCTAAATTTGTTTTGAGGTGTCGATTTAGATAATATGAACTTTGAGGAACACAACTGCTTTATCTTACATACCAGCCGTTTTTGTAATATCATTTTTCAGATGAAAATTTCTTAGCTCTTAACACTATTATTACTTGACTTCACACGTCATTGTGATCCACGATACCATGATTTCGTGTTTGTATGAATTATTGAGTTGAGTGAGGTTATTCATACAACTCGACTAATATCATAAGAATTACCTGGGGGTAAGCTTGTCTTGCATCAGATTTCGACAGCCAGTTAACTGATTCACTATCAACCGTTTTATTTGCATCTTGAAATCTTTTCGCGTGTTGAACGGATATCTGATTATTTAAGGGGATAGAAAAGCTGTCAGAGATTCCTTCCTGAAGTCTCATATCCGCAAATGCTTGACTTGGAGGAATTAAAATGCTTGTAGACGCAGATGTGCTGACAACTTTAGCTCCAAGGGACTCTGCACTTTCGTGTCGTAAATCAAAAGCTGAAAAGCCATTACTCCCATCCGGGGTAGGTGAAGAAGGATTGGACTGTCTAGTGCTTGTACCTTCCTGACGATTTTTCCGGCGTCCCAGAGTATTTCGCAAACTTGAAAATATACCCTAAGAACGTAACGCCATCTATAAATAGTAACAAGTACTTACTTGTTTTGAACGCTTGACATAATTGCTAGGGACATAGCCAGTCTTTCCAAAGGAATTCATCACCTTCCACCAATGTTGGCTATCATCGATAAGTGTTAATTTTTCACCTTTTTGAATTCCAAGCTCATGACTATCTGATGCCTCATAATCAAATTTCACTATCACAAAATCCGTATTTTTATGAGACATTACCTTGCAAAAAATGTATAGAACATTAGCGATTATAATAATAGTAATAAACAAAGTAATTAAATGAATGAGCAGAAAACTTGGAGAATATTTATGACGATTATACCACACATTAATCTCGGAAATTACACTCTGAGTTAGATAGTATTTGGTTCCCTTAACTCTAATAGATGGAAGGGGCCATGGATTTATAAATGTATGGTTAGTATGTGACTAAACTAAAAACTCTCCTTAGAACGGAAGTAGACAATTCATAAAAATTACTGTTTAAGCTACCAATATAGTGCGGCACATAAACTGAGACCACTAAAAATCATGTAAATTATAAATTATGTACAGGTTACTGTACACGGTAATAATTATGATTTATTCTGAGTATCAGTGATGCTGGTTATCCAACGCTTGGAAGATAAGGAGACGATTGAATCCGCCAATTAAAAGTAACGTAGCTAAACCAACGATCCACAAATCAAATAAATATGTAGTGAGCAGAGATGTTACTGTCAACTAGGTACATATAATGACCGTAAACATAAGATAGGAGTCGGTTGAATACAATACTCAGGTAGAGAAAATAGTTAAAACGGTCTGTTGGGTTGGGTTCACCATATTTATATTTTCTTATCGTTCTTCTTAACACTTCTAGCTTTTTTGAGGTGTTTGAGATCTTCCTGGATGATCTCAGAATGCCAAAACCGACAAAACCCACTTAACTCCGATAACATGGAATGGATAAAACAACTAGCTGTGTAATCTATCGTAACATGTGACCTTCAGTCATTCGTAAACAACGTAGAACCCGGTACATATGTGCATCAGCTCAGGTTACTACGCAGCATAGCAGTAGTAACAGTATCAGAAGTAAGAAAAATAGACACAGAATATATGATTATCGAAGGAAATACGAATTCATGGAACATAAGTATAAAACAACTTCAAAATTCAGGATCTAAGGAAGACAGTGTGAATGCGGCACGATGAATAGTTTCGATTCATGTAATCGAACATCTTTAACCACTGGTTAAAGGACTCCAACCAGATAGTCTGTGCCAACCAATGAGACTAAGTCCAACAGTCAATGGCGTCATGAACCCACGTCCCATCTTGGTCTAGCAGGGCCTAATTTTCCTCTGATTTACTCCTACAATAGCCAACATTGCACCTCAAGGTAGGCAATGATTGAAGAACAAATATCTCTGCCACCCGAGTTGACGAAGATCCCCTACAATGTAGTCAGAACCTGAGCGGTTACTACTAAGGAAGAGATAAACATGTACACACATACTTCCCAAAGACTGAGCAAGGTAAGTCTCATTTGAGTCTTGGGATGAAATCGCACAACGCATTAGCCATAGCTATCAGAAATTTACTAAAGTCAACAATAGATTGTGGTTCGTACAAGCTGTAAATGAAACTCATTACCGAACATATAAGGTCTCCACTGTCTATCTAAACGGTAATTTACCAGGGCTACACATCAAAATTTATCGGATGCAATCAGGCTGCAATGTGAAACAAATATGGAGATGAACATGAGTTTCTGTTTCTGATCTCAATTAAATTTAACTCTAATTAAGCCCATTTCGGACAACTACAAATGGGGAACCAGTCCACTAGTGTTACTTTAGTACTAGAACTTATAGCAACACGAACTAAAACGGCTGGCATCAATGTTACACACCCTTAGAAATTTATCCACGAAGCAGGATTTTTCCAATAGAAATTGAGAAACATTGTAATAATTCATTAGGATATAAAATCGAAATAGTTAAGAACTAGGAAATTTCAACGGCGAGAGTTTTCATGGCCCCAAACAGATCAGCCTAATGTCCAGTCAACTTTGAGCATTTCAAGCTTGTCTTTCACGTCATATATATATATATATATATATATATATATATAGCGATAGGCACAAGAAATCTAATTAACTATTCATATAACCTGACCAGTGTTGAGTTCTGGTAGGTAAAAATTCATGCCACACGTCAACCAGTGTTTATGATGCAGTAAAAGATGAATTACGAAAGAGCTGACCAGACAGTATATATTTAGACCTATTTACCAGCTATCAGGGTATGAGCCATACTGTGTGAGGGCTAGTGACACTATCTGGCCACCAAGAATGAAGTGGGAGGAGCGGGTTTAAAATGTGGGACAGGTAGAACCCGCTGACTACTAAGTAGACAGTTTGTTATTTTTGCACTTAAACGACTGTATCATGAGTCAAAAGCCCGGACAGATACCTTAAAAAGTGTAACACTTCCATTCCATGTTTAGAGACCCGTGGTCATACACTTATCAGTTTTCTTTATTGAAATAATCATATCGTTATCTTATAGATAATAACAGCACTTTTAATTATTATACATCTTTCGCCAATCTCCGTCCATATAAGCCCTATCTTAATCAATATGTTCCTGCAAATGAGATACAAACTATGTACGCTTGTTTTTATTAACTTATGTCGCTCCCAAGATATTGCCACTTGAAGAAAACCCGCACAAAAAGTGGATTTATACTAATTTTACTTTAAAAGTGTCATGCTTTTGGGTTAGTTAAACATACATAGAACGAACTGAATGAATCGGAATGGCTGCGCCACATAAAACTCCTAACGAAAATTTTCCGTTGATTAAATAATTCACTGTTATGTTTTCCGTGATTTTATTCGACGATTACAAGTTACCGCATTCCATTTGAAGTTAAACTCCAGACGCTTAAACCGACGTAGTGACGTTCAGACGGAGGCCTGAGAGTTGACTTCTTTGGACAATAAGCTACCATTACGTACTGAGGTTGGAAGCTCACCTAACCGTCCTTCAACAGCGCACCCTCATGGAGAAATCAACGACATTCGACATGGCACCTGAAGTATTGTACGGAATTCGTTTACCCGTATAGCACTTTGAGGTCATAGCTGACTTTCAACCCTAACTATTAACTTAACACCTTATTTTAATTCCTAAAACTAATTCGTAACTCTATTTTTAAAATGTCAAGTGGTTGAAGTATTTAAAGGCCGCTTCACTATTGCTCAAGTATTACCCATTAATGATAATTTTTCCGATGAATTGCAAAACCCTAATCTATTACATCACCTAAACAAGTGCACCATAAACAAACAAATCAGCACGATAAAGCAGGTAACTCAAGTCTAGAGATCATTCGTACTCAAAGCTTGCATAAGCTGTATGTAATAAGAGGGACAACAAGTAAATATGATGATACAAAGATTGAGAAGTTTGTAACTCCCGACGAGTTAAGCATAATACAATAACGAAAACCACATACCAACACAATCTACCACTTTCTAGCAGACCATCGAACACTGCGCTTACAATTCACTGTCCAATGGATGCATGAGTTACACGATTTTTGGTCTTCAGTGACCTACGTTAATCTTTGTGATCCTAAATACGATGAAGGTTTAACCCGACTTAAAGGACATCAAAATAAAGTGCTGATATAACATTTTTGGATACTTTAAGTGTTGGATTCATTTTTTCCTCGTTCACATTTCTCCAAACTTCGGATTCAATACAAAGTGACTTCGTTGAAGTAATGTTAGTAACAGAACCGATTCCTTATTAGAAAACGTGGGATTGGATCCGATGTTGCTGATTTCGATGAGCTATACCTCGAAAGCCACCCGGTGGATCGAGATAGTGAGATGCCAGTAAAGTGAATGTGTTCACGAATACCGGCGTACTTAATATGTTGTTTGCCATTATCAAATTACCTCTTACTCTCCTGCAGCCACTGTGAACAATCTCAAGGTTTGTCCCTCAGTCTTATAACTTATAGTGTTGCCGATCTCTGTACTTGTTCGGACAGCTTAATATCTCTTTCGGGAGGGAGTGAAAGAACGCCGTGACTTTCAATTTGAGACATATTTTGTGGCTAGTGTTGATAAGAATTTCCGAGATGATACCGCAAACTTGTTTGCACACGAAGTAAGGAGTTTTAATTGCTTTGGCTGCATCCTCAGTATATTTTATAAGTTCGCGCTCCTTGAGGATAATTGGGAACGGATCAAAAAAGTGCATAGATTTTCTGGGTCCCATAGGTTTGGATGTTCATAGCGGGACATTTGGATAGCCAAGATTTTAAATCGCTGTCCACCGCACATTTATTCAGTGTCGTGATATCTTCCATGAACCTTCATACTGTGGTATCGTCAGAGGAAAGTAGGGTCCGTGAACCAACTTTATCTAGAAGTTTTTTACTGGAAATTAGAAAGACGAGAGGCCTTCAAATGGTGTTGTGCAAAATGCCTAACGTCGAGGCCAATCATTTTGCGCGGACTCTCTTACCTCAGTGCAGAACACTCAGTTTTATAGGTAATTTCGGGGCCAGTAGAGAACTAGGTCAGTGATATCCAACCTTGTGACCTTCATTATAGAGAAAGCACATAGAACGGTGTTAAATGCATTCATAAAGTTAAGGAATATGAAGAGTATCATCCCAGTAAGCTATCAGGCAATTTCCATGGTAAGAGCTTGAACAAACAGAATCTACCCCGTCTGAACCCATTTTTGGCTTTGTAAAGGATGTTGTTAATAACCACGTATTAGGCTACTTGGTAACTAAGTAGCCCCTGAATAAATTTGGACAGCGATGGAAATAATGTTTCTAGCTCGTAACAAGTCGAATCTTTCCTACCTTTGAAGATCGGAAAAACTAGTGAATCCTCATTGTTATGAGAGTTGTTAAGCCTATAATTTATGTCCAATCAAGTCGTAGACAGGTCGATTAATATCCACTGCTCATTACTTCACGGTCAAAGGTAGATGTTGTCATATTGGGGTAAATTTTCTTCCGGTAAGTATTTCACACTCTATAATACTATCCCGGAAGTTAGGTAGATGTCACTTCAATCTGCTTATGTGTGAGGTGAAACAGCCACTGAAGATTTCTGTCATTACTGGGTTTGCAAAATAATGTTATTAGTCTCTGACAGAAACATTCCTCCGGTTTTTGCTTTTAGCTGAGGAATGGACATCCAGATATACTTCATACTAGTACGGATTTTATTGATTAACTTGGTTTGCATATACCTCTCGTCGCTTCATAATCTAGTGCTGCATTTAATCTTCAGTTCCAGGTAAGAGCTGCGGTTGGAATGCATTCGTATAAATTTCCGTCTGTCAGATTCTCTTTTTAACCCAAACTAAGCATCGCTTCAGCTAATCTTTCTTTCCGGGTGAATTATATGTTAAATTCTTGAAAAATAACCTTCACTATCTCACGGTGGTCTTCTGGTACTGCCTTCCACCACCGTTGCAAACACGGATAGTGTCGTAGATGATCCTCAATAGCCGCATAATGTCCAAGGTGTAATAAAGGTTCCGGGTATTTGCAATCATGATTTAATAATACTAAGGCGCTACACAAATCATCCCTGAAAGTAAATAAATACTGGTTCAAAAGATTTACACTGGATTTTAAATACATGACAAAAAAGAGTGAAGGCCAATTAAGGCCAACGATCATTGAGTTTTCGAAGAACGTCTAATCGAGTTAAACTATATCACAATTAAGATCTGCCCAAAACCTATATACAAATTAATCTATCCAGGTTAAGTAGCATTCAACCAAGCGACACAACAAATTATTATTATTAATGGCTTTATTCAATATTATATTTTGGCACAATGTAGAATTATCAGCACAGGGTATTTCAACAAGTTACTTGCGCAAAAAACAGTGACAAGGACAAAAAAAGGAGAAAAAGGTTAAAAAAAACCGAAAAACTGTACAACTTTTCAAATAAGAGACATGGTAAGAAGGCAGATTATTGACACTAGGTTAACTCTAACAACCTGTTTGTCACAGAGTGTATTTGCTAGGTAAGGTATTATAGAACTTTTATACTTTTGCTTGCGTGCATGGATTTTAATGTAATTACGTCTCGTTCTACCAGAAGATATACAAGGAGAAAGATAAGATTGAAGGGGATGGTTACTATCTGATAAAATAACACCTGCCAGGAGTTTGCATGACTTTAGATGTCTATCCATAACTATATTAATTATGACCTCGAAAGATTCACCACACATCTTGCTAACTGCCTTCAGCACTCTCCGCAATACAGTAAGGTCTTTTCTCAAAAGCCCGGGAAAGAATAATGGAGAACAGTAAAGAATAGTAGGTAATATGCAAGGATTGACAAATTGTAAGAATAAATGACGAGTAATCCCAAGAGCATGCAATCTCTTTATGTAGTAAGTCAGACGGAAAACCTTCCTCGATAACAATAAAACGTGAAAAGACCAAGAGAGTTCAGAGCAAAAGGTAACACCAAGATAATTGACCTTCGACACTGTGTTTATCAAAGAGTCTCCAATGGCACAAGCATTATAGGATCTCAAAATGGTGTTTAGATTCCGTTCATGTCTCATGCTAAAATTAACAGTTTGACATTTAGACGGATTAAGTATGAGACCATTACCAACAGACCAACAATCAATACGAGACAAAAACTCATTCATTTCTATGGGATGTAAAGAGGGAAAGATAGGCATACATACATTGAGATCATCCGCATATTTCACAAAAGTGTTTTCTGTGGAAGATGGCAGATCATGCAGAAAAAAGAGAGGAGAAGAGGTGAAAGAACAGCTCCTTATGGTACACCTTCATGAGACAGTAGAGACTCTGAACACTTTCCTCCAAATACAGTGTACTGTTCCCTTCTAGAGAGGTAAGAACATAGCCAGTTGGTTATTTAGCTGTTAGTGTTAACGCTGATTAACCTGTTAAGTAAACGTTGT